AATAGTTAGATAAATTATAACAATAATGAAAAGGTCATTTAAATAAAAATAACTTAAGAAATAAATAAATTATACCTGAAATTGCTTGAACCATTCTTCTTTATCGGAAACTTCTCTAAAACTCTTCAAAAAATTTGTATAATTCTGCTGAATTATATAATTGATAACCTTAGCAGCAGTCCGACTCGGCCCGAAACTAAAACAACAATAATTTAATTAGCATAATTAATTATATAAAGTTATATTAAAAATGGAAATGTGTACTTATAAATAAAAATCAATAAATAAGAAACTTACGAGTTCCCTTCAGGCCATATCCAAAATCTCCCATCAATGGTATGAATCTCACTCGGATCATCATCCCCTCGAAGATCTCTCCCATCTATCTGATCATCATCCACATCAAGATCGTCATCATCTGACTCTGTGTAGGATGTGGGGGTGCGACCAGTCTGTGTGGGTCGTGAAGAGGTGGATCCTCCAGGATGTTGGACGGATGGGGGCATCTGTGTAGGAAGTGGGGTGCTGGATCCTCCAGGCTGCTGCACGAATGAGGGCATATGTGTGGGAAATGGAAAACTATGTTGGAAGGATGAGGGCACCTGTGTCTGCTGGAAGGATGGCACCTGTGTCTGCTGGAAGGAGGAGGGCACCTGTGTCTGCTGGAAGGAGGAGGGCACTTGTGTCTGTTGGAATGGTAAACCAGGTGGGGCCCCAGATGGACTAATAAAACATGTACTCCCAGATGGGAACTGAAGAGGACTCTGAGATGATAGTAATGGAGTAAATGGCATAGTATTGTCCATGGACATATGATGAATCTGACTCTGCAGGGGAGGACACGTGGCTGAGTGAGGTGACTGGCATACTACTACCCTTGGACGCCTGGGCTTCCTACCACTATCACTAGGGCCTTTACCCTTATTATCTTTGGGTGGCATTTTTACCTAATTAAAGAAAATACAAGTTAACATATACATATTCTCATGAATACATATTCATTAAATCATTCAATAAATGGTTCTTTGAGTAAAATTACAAGACACAATTCTCATGAATACATATTCATTAAATCATTCAATAAATGGTTCGTTAAGTAAAATTACAAGACACAATTCTCATGAATATAGGTTCACTATTCTGAATCGTCATGCTCGTCATCCATTTCATCATCGTCATCTGATGTGATACTATCCTCAGATCCAGAATCTTCATGATCTTCATCCTCATCAACTTGATTCCCCTCAACCATTGTATCAGACAAACTTGTAGTGTGTTTATCTGGAATCACATCATTAACTTCAACTTCATCAACTTGGTAAGCAACATCCTCCACTAGATCGTCAGCTTCAATATGACCCAATGGTTTTGTTTTTATTACAACATAACACCGTCCTTTACGTGGCACAAATGAAGGATAAGGAACATAATAAACTTGCCTAACAATATTTGACATTATGAAAGGGTCGTACTCTTTGTACCTCCGGTCCATTTGAATCTCAACAGTATCATATGTCTTATCTATTTTTGTGCCTCTAGTTGGATCATACCATTCACAATAAAACAAGACAACTTTATTTTCTGAGTCCAAGTAATTGTATACTAACTCGTAGATATGTTTAACAAAACCATAGAAGTCATCTTCACCACCATCTGTAACTCCTTTCACAAATACGCCACTGTTTATGGTTTTTTTCCCTTCAGTCCATTCATGAGTGTGAAATTTATATCCGTTCACGAAGTATGTGTGCCATTTGTTTGCACTTTGACGAGGGCCATTAGACAAGTTTCTCAAATGGAGTATTTATGGAGTCGGTGCAACAACCCTATACAATTTCTCCTTGAACCATGTTGGAAATTGGGCATGAATGACACCAGATATTGATTGTACACCGGTACTTTCAAAGTAGGCGTCATTCAACAGCGTATTCATCTCATTCAACAATTGATAAAATCTCTGCGCTTCCTCATTCGGCAACTCTTCCCCGTCAAAGTCTTCAGGTTGATCATAGGTCACGTTAACACTAAAAGCATCACCAACCATATCACCTATCAGATTAAAGTTTTCTTCAAATTCCATAGGTGGTTGCATAACCGGTTGACTACTTGAAGCATCTGTGTTGCTAGTCTTTGGTACATTACTCGGCAGTGTTTCACCATGATGCGTCTAAACCCAATAATTTTTAATGAAACCTTTCCTATGCAAATGACGTGTTATTTCCTCTGGGTCACTAATTATATATCTACATCCACATTTAAGACAAGAACACCTAACTCCTCCTTCACTTCGACAACGTTCCTGGGCAAACGTCCACGCGATAAAACCATTAACTCCGTCTATAAAATTGGGTTTAAGTGCGCGTCTTCCTGGATATAGTCTATCGTACATCCAACTACGATAATACATATAATATTCCATTTACTGCAAATTTATATAATCAAAACCTATTTAATTAAAAATATTAATTAATCAACTTAATAATAATCCTAAACATATACAATTAAAGATAAATATATGCTTTCAACAATATTTATAAACTCCTAAAAATATTTTTAAACACTTAAAATTTAATTTAAACACCTAAATTTTATAAACTCCTGAAAATTTAAAATCTTATTAAACTCCTAAAAATTTAATTTAAACACTAAAAATTTATAAACTCCTAAAAATATTTTTAAACAGTTAAAATTTAATTTAAACACCTAAATTTTATAAACTCCTAAAAATTTAAAAACTTATTAAACTCCTAAAAATTTAATTTAAACACTAAAAATTTATAAACTCCTAAAAATATTTTTAAACACTTAAAATTTAATTTAAACACCTAAATTTTATAAACTCCTAAAAATTTAAAAACTTATTAAACTCCTAAAAATTTAATTTAAACACTAAAAATTTATAAACTCCTAAAAATATTTTTAAACACTTAAAATTTAATTTAAACACCTAAATTTTATAAACTCCTAAAAATTTAAAAACTTATTAAACTCCTAAAAATTTAATTTAAACACTAAAAATTTATAAACTCCTAAAAATATTTTTAAACACTTAAAATTTAATTTAAACACCTAAATTTTATAAACTCCTAAGAATTTAAAAACTTATTAAACTCCTAAAATTTAATTTAAACACTAAAAATTTATAAACTCCTAAAAATAAAAAAAACTTAAACTCCTAAAATAATTAAACTCATTCATCACAAAATAATAATTAACAATTATTTTAAACTAAATAATTAAACCTAACATTTAACTCAAATACAGAAAATATATATATAATCCAAATTCAACAATTTTAACCCAATGCAATTTAATCAAATTCAGAAGAAAAAAATTCAAGACATACCTTTTATCTTGTAACTCCTTCAATCTTCTTGTCCCTTTTTGCAATCTACACTTCTATATTCTCCTTCTCTATTCAAAGAAAAATTGAAAAAAAATTATATTCAAATAACACATCAAAAGCTATTAACAAAGTATATAAAACATGAAATTGAAATTACTTAACAAAATGTATGAAGATGGTAGGAATTTTAGTGTGGAGAAGAGAATTTTTTGGTGAAGAAAAAATGGGTATGGAGAGGAAGTGAAGGTTGAAGATGAAGAAATGGCAAACAAAAACGTTGTGGAACGTTTTTGATAATTGACATAAACCAAGTAGCGACGTGAAAATCACGCCGCAACGTTGCCACGTGATTTTCACGTCGCAACAATATTACAACTGATTTCTCTTCCTTCAAAACCTGAACACGCCAGTGTTGGAAGTTGTGATTTAATTAATTTTTGTGATATTTTAATTAGCGGCGTGAATCCCATGTCGCTACTTTTTTTAAAACGAAAAAGTAACTGACACACTTAATGCTTCTGTTTTATATTATTAAAACACGTTGCCACGTGATTTTCACGTCGCAACTGGTTTTAATTAGCCACATGAAAATCACGTAGCAATTTCACGTGGCTGGATATGCATTTTCTTGTAGTATATATATATATATATATATATATATATATATATATATATATATATATATATATATATATATATATATATATATATATATATATATATATATATATATATATATATATATATATATATATATATATATATATATATATATATATATATATATATATATATGTGTGTGTGTGTGTGTGTGTGTGTGTGTGTGTGTGTGTGTGTGTTACTTTTGATGAGCTTAAGTTCTCCCTCTTCCACTAACTTGGTGATGCTCCTACTCAAAACTTCTTCCGTTAAACAAAACAGAAGAGGGGATAGGGGATCTCCCTGCCTGACTCCCCTAGTGAAATTGAAATAGCCAAAAGAGTTACCGTTAATAGAAAAAGACAGAAAGGCAGAAGACAAAATGGTCTGAATCCAACTGCAAAAAGTATCATTAAAACCAAACTTTTTGAGAACACAAATAAGAAATTCCTAGCTGATAGTGTCGAACGCTTTGGCAATATCGATTTTAAGGGCCATATTACCCCCAAAAGATTTGTTGTCCAGGTGATTGACGACCTCAGAAGCAGTACAAATACAGTCCTTAACGCATAGACCTTTGATAAATCCTCGTTGCTTCATAGAAATCAGAGATGACATGAAAACCGACAACCTATCAGCAATAATCTTGGATATAATCTTAAACTTGAAGTTGGCTAGCGCAATGGGTCTGAACTTGTCCATTGTGTCTGTATCTTCTGAATTTGGCAGCAGAATAATAATATTGGAGTTATAATTGCACATAATCCAACCAGACTTAAAGAATTGTCACACATCATTGTTGACATCCTCTTGAATTATAACCCAATAAGTATGATAGAAACAACCACCAAACCCGCCCGGACCTGGAGCGCTCTCTTTGTTAAGGCTGAAAGATTTCCATGTTCCAACTTTTAAGACTAAACTTGAGATTTTGGAGCTTTTTAGAAAGAATGTACATAGGGCATCCCACAACCTTGGCAACCTAACAATTGGCTATGAAAGTTTCACAATCACCATGAAGAGTCCACATATCAAGGAATCTAAACCTGAAGGTATGTGAAAGAGTGGAAAAGCTAGCCTCCAAAAGCAAAGGATGATGATCAGAGCGATGTTTAATCAATGTAGATACACTCAAACTAGAAGAGGTAGTAAGCTAAAGTTGATTGCAAACAACTCTATCCAATTTTCTTTCCACAAGACCATGACCAATCCTCCCGTTAGACCGAGTGTAAAGAGAACCCTTGGTTGGGATGTCCACCAAGTTGTTGCTGTTATAACACTCCACAAAATCCTCCATATGCAATTTATTAGGAGAGTGCCTACCTCAATACTCATGAGATCCCATGATAGCATTAAAGTCTCATAAGTAGCAACAAGAAATGTCATTGCTGCTAGAGATAAAATAAAGATTACTCCAAAGGTTTCCCGATTTAAATGACAATTAGCAGCATACACCACATTATATTCCACTGAGGTAGAATTCAAACAAATTGTGAAGGAAACATACTTGTCAGAAATCTTAAAAATGTGAGGATTAAGCGTGTTGTTACAGAAGCACCAGAGATTCAGAAGCATATCATTCCTCTGATTTGCGGTAAAAAAATTTAGATTCAAAGATTCAAAAAATCTGTGAGAAAGATGGCTATAATCCATCCAGGACTCAACTATAAAAACAAAATCAAACTTGTGTAATTTAATATGATTCTTAAGCGCCAATCTAGTAGGGGATTGGCTAAGCCCCTAACATTCCAATAAATGTATTTCATCGTAAAGGTTTGAAAGTGACAATCTTTGAACTAGGGTTTGAATTTCTTTTAATTTTGAAGAAATACTGGATATTGTAAAAAATATCGGATATTTTGAGATTTTTTTTAAAAAATATCAGAAATTTTTGATAAAACACATTGATTTCTGATAAATATTTGAAAAAATACTTAATTTTTCAAAATATGTTGTAGTTTTTTGAATTTTTGTAAAATGTTAAGGTCATATTCGATAGACAAAAACTTTTTTTTAACGTTAATGAGTGAAAATTGAATATATTGATCTACGACATTTTAAAAAATTCAATAATATTAAATTTTCTTTTTGCCTAATAAATATAAACTATAAAAAACTTATGAATAACATTGTTATATCTTTTAGATATATAAATATAATTTCAAAAAAAATTAATTTTATCATGAAAAAAATAGTAGCAGTGCGATTTGTTGTTGTTACCTTAAATACTTTTTGTTTCAACCATAAGGGCGTTCATAAAAAACTAAAAAAAAAAAATCTTACGAGGATAGAATGGTAACTGTGCTTTCATAATTTCATTTAGATGGCTTTCACTTTTTACAGAAAAAAGTTGAAAGAAAACTGAGAATATCAGATACGCATTCCCACGGTCCGTTTCATCTGAGAAGAGAAGAAAACGCCAACAGAAATCCTGTTCTTGACCTTGCGCCGCCTCAGAACCAGTCGCCGTTCACCTCTTCCCACTCACCGTCTTCTGCGCAGGTTCCTCTTCATCTTTCTAGGTTTCTTCACAAACCCGCTGATTTTTCTTTCATTTCTTCCATTACTCAAAACACGTAAAATTTCATGTGCAATGCTAGGCTAGTTCCTCAATTTTTGTAACACCGATACCTGTGAACATTAAACAAGTTCGTTGATTGCATATTTAGTGTTTATCGACTAACTGAAACCCTAAGATAGATTTGAATTCAAGTAGGTATAATAGGATACCGTGATTTTGTTTGATCTGTGATATGATATTAAAACTTTTATTGGCATGAAAAATGAAACCTTATCAGGCATTCATTTCATTGTATTTCAATTTTCGTGTTGATCATCTCATATTTCCTTTAGCAGTCTGAAGATATGGGTGACCGACAAGTAGTTGACCAACAACACACAGTTGATCAACAGATGCCATCTTCTCCTCCTCTTCCTCCTCCTCCTTCGAAGGATGATATGATTTCTTGTGTTATGGCTTTGGAGGCTGCTTTGCTTCCCTGTTTGCCAGCCAGGGAACTTCAAGCGATAGACCGTTCTCCACACCCTTCTCATCAAAGTTAGTAACTGCAGATCTTTCAAATTTCTGATTTTGATGCCCCTGTATTAGAAATTAAATTACATGTTAGCTTTCTCTAAGTATATTCGTTGAAATGTAAATGATAAATAATTTAATCAACATATATTTTCAAACAAAACTGTAATGTTTCATATTTATATGAAAATAGGATGGCTTGTTATATGTTGTGACTAATTAGGTTGACTTTTATTACCATGGTAGTCAATCCCGGATAGCGGGGCGGCTGACCCCAAAAGTGGGATAGCAGGATAGGGTATAGCGGGATGACCGCTATTTGATCATATTTTAGACATTCCATGAATAACTATAAACATATATTTAATTAAAATTAAACAAATAACTCTACTCATAAAAGATTCGTAAATCAAAGCACAAGGCTGCAAAGAAAGAAAAGAGAGGAACAATGTGAATAGAAGAAAAACAGAGGAACAATGGATGGATACAAAGAAAGAAACAGAGAAGAAAAAGTTAGAACCAGCCTGAAGAAAATGTGATTAAAAGAAAGAAATGATGGATGCAGAGCAAAGAGCAGAGGGAGGAACGAAGGCGGCTGCAGATCAAAGAGAAGAAGGGGGAATGACGACGGCTGCTGCGGCTGAAGAACAAGTTGCAGAGAGGAGGGGAATGTTACGTGTGGTTTGTATGCTGGAACTACCGAAGAAAGAAACATAGTGCAGAAACGATGGATGAAAGAAGGTTAGAGTGGAAGAACTCAAATTTGACGGGAAAACCCAAAATTACACTTGCAACTTTTTAAGTTTACATGGTAATTTCGGTTTTATAAAAGGGAAAAAGATAACGGACAAGAAACTGCTCTGGGCCAAGAACCGCTCTGCTCCCCGCTAGTTGCCCTATAGTGGCCGATACTGTGTTCTGCGCTGCTAAGGCTCTTTTCATAGCGGCCGGTCTCTGCACCACTCCGCTTTCCCGTTATAGCGCTGCTAATTGCCGCTATTGACTACTCTGGTTATAACAAAGCCAAAATATAATCATTGTTAGTTAATTCAAGTTTAAAGGAATGAGATTGCTTAATGCTAACATAAAATATGTTCGAGGATTCTTGAGTGAAAACTCCGTGTGTCATTAGGTACAGACTAGTAGTCAAACAATTACTTACACCACTAGTGATCAAGACTCAAACAGGCTCCATTTAAATTGCATTTTGATTTAAATGGTACCAATTAGGGAGTAATTGTATGTTTGAATACAATCTTCTGAGACTGATGTAGATGCTAGAAGTCATGGGAGATCTAAATATTCACTTTGCCCGTTGATTCAGTTTTTTTTTGTAATTTTTCTTCTTCATAAATATGTAGACTCTTTGTATCCAAAAGTACGAATATAAAATGATGACTCTTGTATGTATATTCTTTTATATTTATAAATAGAAAAAGTTGTTCCTTATTGGGCTGCATGGAACTTGTGAAAGCACAATGTATTTGGTGTGTGTGATGATACCCTCAGTTTGTGAGGAATCGTAATTGCAGTTTCTATCTAATCTATTTATGTTGCTAACTTGAGAACTTAAGTGTGATCAATGGATGAATATGATGTATCATGTGATAATTGAGTTGTTAGGTAAAACTGTTAAAGTGGCTTAACATATATTTTATGTTAAAGATGAGCATTCTTGCAACAACATTGCCTCCCTTGTGGAATTCAGTTGTTGACACATTGTTAAATGTGCAGTTATGAATGCACCAATCATCCACGGGGAGAAAAGAAGGGTGGTAAAAGGTTACTTTTGATGATTTTGAAATGATTATATAAATTTATAAAGAACTGATGAACCATATTTTAATCAATAATTATTGGCATGATACAATATATTAGATGTATTCTATGTACTGACCTGCTATTGCAGGTCATCTTTCTCTTTACCCTGCTATTGCAGGTTACCCTTCTGTTTTCTATAAAAACAGATCTCACTTGTAACAAACTCGTAACAGAATAATAGAAATTCAGTTACAATGAAAATTCTCTCTCTCTTCTTGCTTTCTAATATGGTATCAGACTAGCCTCTTGATCCATGGCAGCTTCATCTTCTTCCACCGCTGCCCACGTTTCTTCGCCGTCGTCCGCCGCTGTCTTGGATAAGTCGTGCCGCTTACAGTTCGCGCTGAAGATCGCGACCAAGCTCGACTCAAAGAATTTTCATCTATGGCGTCAGCAGGTTGAGCCATACATCAACGCTCACAACCTCACTGATTCGGTGCTTCCGTCGCGAGTTCCGCCTCAGTTTCTTGATGATGATGCGCAACGCTCAGGTACGATCAATCCTGTGTATGCTGCTTGGTTGCAGAAAGATCAGATGCTGCTCTCATGGCTTCAGTCTACTCTCTCGAGCGAGATTCTGTCTCGTGTTCTTGGATGCACACACACACATCAACTTTGGGATCGTCTGTTCACCTATTTTCAGAAGCAAACTCGTGCGAAAGCTCGCCAACTCCGTGTTGAACTTCGTGCCCTAACTCTTAACAATCAATCTGTTCAGGATTACCTTCAAAAAATTCGTACTATTGTGGATTCGCTTGCCTCTATTGGAGATCCTGTGCCTCTTTCTCACCACATTGATGTCATCCTTGAAGGCTTACCTTCAGATTATGCCTCAGTTGTTTCAGTTGTGGAAAGCAAATTCGGCGTTATGGACATTGATGAAGTTGAGATCCTCCTTATTGCGCATGAACTTCGTCTGAATAAGTTCAGGAAATCACCTGCTTCAGATATTCTTTCCCTCAATCTCACGCACACTGCACCTTCTTCTCAGTCCCCTGAGTCTGCTCCTTCTGGAAGTACTGAACCAGTACCTGCTCCTTCTCAGTCCATAGAGCCTGACTACTCCACCTTAAGAGGAGGCAGATCTCACAGAGGTCGTGGTGGCAGAGGGAGAGGTGGCAGAAATTCAGGCATTCAATGCCAAGTTTGTTCTCGTTTTGGCCATTCTGCCCTAGCCTGCTGGCATTAATCAGCATTTTCAACCTTCTGCTTCTCTCAGTGGTTATTCCTACAATACCACTCCCTTTCAGCAATCTTCTCCTCAGCAAGCTCCTTGGTTACCTGCTCCTCTAACCTTTGGTCAATTCAATCCTTATACTTGGAATAGACCTCCTGCTGCTCACTCTAAACCTCAGTCTGCATATGCTCCACCAAGTACCTTTGTGGCTAACACTGCTCCCTCCTCATCTGCTGGCACTTGGTATCCTGACTCAGGTGCATCCTTTCATGTCACCAGTGATGCTGGAAATCTCCAGCAACTCACTCCTTTTGAAGGCCATGAACAGATTTACATAGGGAATGGCCAAGGTCTCCCTATCCACACTGCAGGATCTAGTATTTTTACCTCATCCTCTCACCCTCACACACAGTTCACACTTAAAAATCTGCTTCATGTTCCTTCCATTACCAAGAATCTCATTAGTGTCAGCCAGTTTTGCCTTGATAATAATGTATATTTTCTATTCACAGTTGACAAATGTCTTGTCAAATGCCAGGTTTCTGATGCTGTCTTGCTGGTTGGCCAAGTTGGGTCTGATGGCCTTTATGCTTTCCCCTCTCTGTCTGTTTCAGCACTTGCTCAGGCTTCCCCTGTTTCTTTACCTTCTGTTTCTAATTCTGTACCTGCTGCTAATGCAGTTAGCATTTCCTCAAATTTGTCTAATGTTTGGCATTTGAGACTAGGTCACCCTAATGAGCACACACTCAAACTAGTTTTACAAAGCTGTAATATCTCCTTTAGCAATAAAGAACAAAATATTTTTTGCTCAGCTTGTTGTATTGGCAAAGCTCACAGATTACATGCTCCCACTTCTCATACTGTCTATCACACTCCTTTGGAACTTGTGTACTGTGACCTGTGGGGACCATCCCCTCAACCATCTACTTTAGGCTTCACATATTACATTTCCTTTGTCGATGCTTACTCTAAATTCACCTGGCTTTACCTCCTCAAGTCCAAATCTGAAGCCCTTACCATATTTAAACAATTCAAGAGCATGGCAGAACTTCAGTTTGGCCATCCTATCAAATCTGTTCAATCTGATTGGGGAGGTGAGTTTAGGCCCTTTACCAAATTTCTGAATGAGCTTGGTATTCTGCATAGAGTGATATGCCCTCACACACATCACCAAAATGTGTGGTTGAGAGAAAACATAGGCATATTGTGGAACTTGGTCTTACACTCTTAAGTCAAGCTTCAATGCCACTCCAGTACTGGGATTATGCTTTCTCCACTGCTGTTTTCCTCATTAACAGGCTTCCTTCTTCCTCCCTTAAGTTCAAAGTGCCTTACACTCTGTTATTTAATTCTCAACCTGACTACAAGTTCTTAAAAGTGTTTGGATGTGCTTGTTTTCCCTTACTCAGGCCATATCATGCTCATAAGTTGGACTTCAGATCCCAAGAATGTCTTTTTCTAGGCTATTCCACCTCTCATAAAGGGTACAGGTGTCTCTCTGCCCAAGGCAGACTTTATATTTCTAAAGGTGTGCTTTTCAATGAGTCCAGGTTTCCTTTTCATGATCTTTTTTGCTCAACATCTTCCACCACTACTGCTCTTCAGTCTCAACGTGCTACCTCCCTTGGTTCTATCATCCCTTATTCCCCTGTGCCCTGCATCACCCCCTTGCCAAGTCCAGACATTTCTGGTTCAACAAGCTCTGTTTCTCCCACTGTTTTGGTACCTCCTCAAACTATGTCAGAGACCTTTACTGCATCCCCTGCCTCACCTCATTTTAATACAGCTTCTCCTTCCTCACAATCTGAAGCATCTGACTCTTCTTCCTCTACCTCATTATCAGCTTCTATTCCACCTAATGCTGTTCCCATATCTCACAAGCCTGTCAATGATCATACCATGCAGACAAGGGCCAAATCTGGTTTTATTCAACCCAGGTTGCAGCCTAGGTTGCTGCTGACATGTATTGAACCTAAAACTGTGAAGGTTGCTCTTGCTGATCCTAAGTGGAAACATGCTATGCAGGCAGAATTTGATGCCCTCTGTCAAAATCACACTTGGTCCCTTGTTCCTCTTCCTCCCAATAGACAGGCCATTGGCTGCAAGTGGGTATTCAGAGTCAAGGAGAATCCTGATGGCAGTGTTAACAGGTACAAAGCTAGACTTGTTGCTAAGGGTTTTCACCAAAGGCATGGGCTGGATTTCACCGAAACCTTTTCCCCTGTGGTCAAGCCCATTACCATCAGAATCATTTTAACACTTGCCATAACTCACAGCTGGTCCATTCAACAACTGGATGTCAACAATGCCTTTCTCAATGGAGAGCTTGATGAAGAAGTATATATGCAGCAGCCTCCTGGTTTTCTTGACTCCAATCCTTCTTTAGTGTGCAAGCTTCACAAGGCTCTCTATGGCCTCAAGCAAGCACCAAGGCAGTGGTTTGAAAAGTTGCAAACTGCCCTCATTCACCTTCATTTTGTACCCAGCAAGTGTGATCCTTCCTTGTTTATTTTATCTTCTAAAGGACACACCACATATATTCTGGTATATGTGGATGATATCATCCTAACTGGTAGCAACCCTTCTACTCTTACATCTGTTATTACCAAGCTTAATGATGCCTTTTCTCTTAAGCACCTTGGCAGTCTTGACTACTTCTTGGGCATTGAAGTTAAAATCACCCCTCATGGCTCTCTTCTTCTCTCTCAAGCCAAATACATTAGGGATCTTCTGCACAGGACCAATATGGCTGATGCTGCTGCAGTTGGCACTCCTATGCATTCCAACTGTAAGCTTACCAAAACTGGCTCAGCAGCGCTTTCTGATCCTTTCATGTACAGGTCTGTAGTAGGTGCACTTCAATATGCCACCATTACCAGACCTGACATTGCTTACTCTGTCAACAAGGTGTGCCAATTTATGTCTCACCCTCTGGAATCACACTGGGTTGCTGTGAAACGTATCCTTCGTTATCTCAAAGGTACCATCAGCTTTGGCCTTCATCTCACGCCTTGTTCTCCTCGTCAGGCACCTGCACTGCAAGTTTTTTGTGATGCTGACTGGGCGTCTGATCCTGATGATAGACGCAGCACTTCTGGAGCAGCTATTTATTTTGGGCCCAATCTGGTTTCATGGTGGTCCAAAAAGCAGCCTGTAGTCGCCAGATCCAGCACTGAAGCTGAATATAGAAGTCTTGCTCAAGCTACAGCAGATCTATTATGGCTTCAAACGCTTCTTCAAGAACTCTGTGTTTCCACTCAACTTCCAGTTATTTTCTGTGATAACCAATCTGCTGTGCTGCTGGCCCATAATCCAATTCTGCATTCTAGAACGAAGCACATGGAAATTGATCTATTCTTTGTCAGGGAAAAGGTTCTTGCCAAACAGGTGCACGTTCTGCACATTCCAGGTGTTGATCAAGTTGCTGATGCGCTCACAAAACCTTTGGCATCTCAAAAGTTTTTGCATCTTAGGCACAAACTCAGGGTTGCCAGCTCCCCATGAGTTTGTGGGGGGGTATTAGATGTATTCTATGTACTGACCTGCTATTGCAGGTCATCTTTCTCTTTACCCTGCTATTGCAGGTTACCCTTCTGTTTTCTATAAAAACAGATCTCACTTGTAACAAACTCATAACAGAATAATAGAAATTCAGTTACAAAGAAAATTTTCTCTCTCTCTTCTTGCTTTCTAATACAATATAACCACAGAAATGAGTGAAAATTGGATGTATTGATGTACAATCTTTAGATGAAATTCAGTGTTTTGATTTTGATTTTTTAATTTTTTAATTTGATACATTGTAGGGCCGAAGACAATGGGATGTACTTGCTTTATTTAGACCTTGTTAGCCTTAAGTTCAAATAGAACTCTTGTGGTGTGACTGCAACTTATGACTTTTTCATATGCAACATGTATCACTAGAATCATAGTACTAAAATTAGTTGTGAATTTAGTTATGTTTGTAGTTATTAGCAAACATAGAAAATGGAATTAGAACAATCAAACTAATCAAATTTGAATATATTTGAAAAATGATCTTAATAAGGTTTTCCTTGGTTGGGTGTTTTCTATCAGTCGATGTGGATCGACATGCTAGAGATTTTATGGAAGCTGCCAAGAAACTTCAACTTTATTTTATTAGTCTGCAACGAGAGGATAAGCCAACAAAAGCTGAAACGCTTAAAAAGGTATGCTGACCACTCTGAAATATAATGTTTTTCTTCAGTCTGACACCTAATATTCTTATCTAAACTTCAACTGTATGTGTTGTCTAAACAGGAGATTTCTCTTATGGAAGATGAGCTTAACGAAAAAAATGAGCTGATTAGAAAACAAGAACATTTGATCCAGGAGTGGAAAAAAGAGTTGGCAGATCAGTTGGACAAACACAATAACGAGTTGAACAGAGTTTAGTTTAAGATTTTATTCGTAGCTTCATTAAATATCTAAAAAATTAATTGCCCTTTTTTTACTCTAGTAGTTTGTGAAATATGTATGGGCAACCGGGCAAGTGATACTAATTAGTTGAGAATGAAATTACTTAGATATCTGTTTGGTGAATTTTGAGGATAACAGTCAAGTCATACAAAATGGATATGATGAGAAAAGCCGAAGAATGTCACCACCCTTGTTAAAATAGGAAGCCAAATCAGTACATGAAAAACAGGAATTGCATATTGAGAATGCTCCTTGTACCACATGGTAGCATTCTCCACAAACAAGCATTTGCTCTTCATTGCAACATTGAATTGCATCTTCTCTGCTCATGCTTTTTTCTGCAGAAGTTGGTACTGTGGGATGTTTAATGCTAGTAAAATATTGGCCTTTCTATTTCCATTTATGGTGTATGTACATTGTAACTGCATCTCTGATTTTTAACCTTCATAACAAATGTTTGCAGCTGAAATATTGTATTTCAATGGTATGGCTACAAATTTGGCTTAAGCTGCACAGTGGTTCCATAACTTAGATCACTTTCAAGGTTTGTTTGTGTTGGTGGTATTAGGGGTGAAGTTGATTGTTATGAAATGAAATGTAACTTGTTGATTAGATTTTGAAAATTTGATGATGCTCCATTTCATTCAACTTCATTTTGTACTATATCATTATCCAAACATACCTGTTCTTCTGTAGTGAGCTTCACAGTTTCTTTTTCGGCAAATGAATACGATACCTAGTTGGCTTGGAAGGGAGTTGAAAAACCCATTCTGTATCCATTTTGATCCAACTATATTATCTAGTAACTAACATCCAAAATAAGTTGTTTTTGTAGCAGAACTATAACTACTCGTCAAACGAATCATATTAAGCAAAACACACCGTAGAGATTGGAGATTGGAGGTGGCTTAGTCTTCATGATGTTCCTTGTCCGCTGATATAGAAGATAAGACATGCATGGAATATGTATTTTTTGAATTCATCATAAATTGGTTGACAGGATTGAGTGCTTGAGAAATGTATGGACGTGAACACATTATGATGTACATTTAACTGTCAATTGCACTAGTAAAAAATGCATGCCTTGTGTGTCTTATCTTTTATTGTAGTAGGAGATTGTTTATTAAAGAGCCTAAAATGTGGAGTTAGTGGAGTCACCGTTGATTTAGAACCTTTAAGATATAAATCTCATCTATAACCAATTTATACTTCAGACATAGACTTGTGAAGATTAAAGAGTTGTTCGCATTTTTGAGTTGGACTTTGAGCAAATGATTGGATATAAGTAATTTTATTTTAAATGGTAGAGTTAACCATTTTAAAAGCTTAACCAGTCTCCTAAACTTGTTTAGAAGTTGTGGAACAAAATCTGTTTTGGAGTTTTTCAATTGATCGTGTAGTGATTGGTTGGTTGCATAGAGCTATTGTGGGTGCTTTGCTTGGGTGAAAGATAAATGCTTATGCTATAGGTGGTCCAATTTGGATAGAAGGGAAGTTGGTGTCATGAAGTCTTGGTTAATTTTTTATAGTGTTTTTTTCCCGGCTCTGCAGTCTTTCTGCAGTTGTGTGGAGCTTTGATGTCCGCTAGTTTTTTCGGCTTTGCAATACTTATTTTCAATTTTTGACTTTTCTCTATAGTCATAATCAGTTACAACACTTAAATAGAGTGTTTCTGAGAAACAAACCAACATTTAATAATTTGTTAAGTGATTTTGATGAAGTTGTTATCAATCAAATTCTATTGAAGAAATCTCTTGGATATAAATATGTAAAAATCACAATAGAGAAATAGAAACATCATTGATTAACATTCAAATAGTCGTGCATCGAGAGTTTAAGATTCACATATAGAAGCTAGTACATGCTATTTCATTCTTGGGTTAAAAAAATAAAATTTGGGAATGAAATTGCATAAGATTCAAACTAAGCTTTCTCGCATTTGATTCTTCTTGCAAGTTGAATGTCCTTAGGCATGACGGTGACTCTCTTAACATGAATTGCGCAAAGGTTTGTGTCTTCAAACAATCCAACCAAGTATGCCTCTGTAGCTTCTTGAAGAGTCGAAACAATACTGCTCTGGAACCTCAGACCCGTCTTGAAATCTTGAGCGATTTCACGAACAAGACGCTGAAAAGGGAATTTTTAGATGAGAAGCTTAATGCTCTTTTGATACTTACGGATCTCTCTCAATGCAATTGTTTCTGGTCTGAATCTGTGTGGCTTCTTCACTCCGTCGATTGCAGGAGCTGGTTTTCTGGAGGCCTTTGTTGCTAGCTGCTTCCGGGGAGGCTTGTCGCCAGTGTATTTATTAAAAAGTATTTATAAAATAAAATAAGTACAAGAGTTTAGGATAAATATTACTTCCTTCGTTCCACAATAAGAGATTCCGCTCATTATTTCAAACATATTAAGAAAAGTAAGATACTCGATATTCTCCAAAGATTTGTTCCTTAGCAGGAGTTCGTTTACCACTCGAGCTCATGCGTTCGGTTATTGACAGTGTAAATTTAATTTACTCTTTTAGTGCATCATCTTTTTTCTCTTTTTTTAATATGTTTGGATGGTAATTAATATCTTCAATGATCCCTATTATATCAAAGGATTTTTAAATAAATAAAAAACAAAATACATGTTCTTAGGAATATATATAGAGGTGTAAGCGGATAAAAAAAATTGACAATTCAAATCAAATCTAAAAAAAATAATCATTTTTTAGTTTATTTTAAAAGTTGAATCGAAACAATGAAAATCAAGATGGTTTGATTTAGTTCTCGATTTTAGTTTTTAGCAACTGATGAACCGAATCGATTGTTATAATTATTCACTAGATCATTTATTCATCCAATTATTAAGCCATAATATTCTATCGGCCTAACCCTTAAGCTTCCTTTCTTTTATCAAATTTCACAATCAACAACCAAACTTCAAACATAAAAAGTAGAAACTTTAATTCACAAAACTTTGTTTTCACTAAACTGTTGCTCTCATTGGTCATCACAATTGTTGCTCTCATCTGAGACACATAAAAAGGTTGAGCTTGTCAACTCTGTCCATGAGAAGGTGAAGCGATACGATTCTTTGTCGGCTTTGGCTGCTCAAATAGCAAAGTTCCAGATTGATAGTTGAAACAAGACAGTACGACTATCTACATGAGCAGATTGAAGATTAACACCCGAAACAAGGCGGGGAAACTATCTTTCTTTCTCAAATATGTCAGAGATTAATTCCTGAAACAAACCAGGAAAACTATCTCAACGACCAACAAAAGCAAGTTCCAGATTAATTCCTGAAATCAGACAAGGCAACTTATCTGTGAACAGCTGATTGTGGATCAATTTCCGAAATAAGACATGACAACCATCTATATGAGCAGGTTGAAGATTAACACCCGAAATAAGACGGGGAAATTATCTTTCTTTCTCAAATAGGTCAGAGATTAATTCCTGAAACAAACCAGGGCAACTATCTCAACGACTAACAAAAGCAAGTTTCAGATTAATTCCTGAAATCAGACAAGGCAACTTATCTATGAACAGCTGATTGTGGATCAATTCCCGAAACAAGATGGGGTGACTACCTACACGACCAGACGAAGCAATATTTCACGAGTTCCTTCTCATGATCTCCAGATGCAGCTTTACACGGGCTCATTCTGAAGCAATCTTACACGGGTTCCTTCTCATGATCTCCAGATGCAGCTTTACACGGGCTCATCCTGAAGCAATCTTACACGGGTTTCTTCTCATGATCTTCAGATGTAGCTTTACATGGGCTCATCCTGAAGCAATCTTACACGAGTTCCTTCTCACGGTCTCTAGATGCAGCTTTACACGGGCTCATCCTGAAGCAATCTTACACGGATTCCTTCTCGCAATTTTCAGATGCAGTTTCACACAGACTCATTCTGAAGCAGTCTTACACCGGCTCCTTCTCATATATCTCCATATGAAGTTTAACACGGACTCATCCTGAAGCAGCCCTACACATGCTCCTTCTAATATATTTCCAGATAACAGTTAATTGCATTTTTTCCAGTAAATTACTGCGAAGCCTGGATTTCGACCAGAAAACAACTAACTTTCATCTCTCCAATCCAGAGATAACGCCTCAGTAGAGCCATGGACAACTAAATCTCCTAGACTTTATTCCCCACGGAGTTTTCCTCAAGTAAAATAATAAAAATTAACATTCTCCAGTGGAGTCCTCCTCAGACAACAGGAACAGTAATCTCCATAAAGAGACCTCTTATGAAGTCAGCATCTACTTTGGATGGCATCTTTAAGCCCATCTCCGACAATTCTCAGTCATCTTCTCCAAATGGAATCTGTAAGCCCATTCCTGATATCATCAACCAACGACGTTACTTCATACAAGTGCAAATTTCTGGGCACTCTAGTGTTCAATCATCTTCCACCTTTATATCATGAAAGGCATACAAGTCAATCTAAACTCTCAGGTTTAAGAAGATTGAACAGGGGCAGTTGTTGTACCCCAAAATTTTCCCTCCTATTTTATTCAAGGCATGTTCATTAAGGTCCTCAATTTCTCAAGGTTGGCCAAGAATTGACCAGACAAATTCTCCTCCTAAGCAATGGATTTCCATCTAAGGTTTCATTTCTCACAAAGAATTTTGGTTTGCAAGGGCTTGAAATGATTTTCATGGCACCCTATACGCCTCAGCATAATGGCACAACTGAAAGAAATAAAAGAAGTGTACATGACAAGGTGTAGGTCAAAAGCTAAGAATACGCCTAAGAGCTTTTGGGTCGAAGCAGCTTCGACGGTAGTATGTAGTCTAATCCGATGCCCAACAAAGCACTAGGATCAAAGGAAGGATAGTTCGAAAGAAAGCGTGAGGAGGCTTTTATGAAGTCTTCGATTGATGAAGAGCTAGTAAAGAGCTTCGAAGGATTCATTTTTGAACCACTGAAATATAATCCATTTGAAGTATTACAAGGAAAGACACTTCGACTGTCATGTTGATTGAATTGGCGCTTCAAAAAGAAGAAGAGTTTGAATTCGAAAGATTTGATCTTATGGTTGGAAGGACATGCATGTACCTAGACAGGTGAGGAAGAAGTTGGATGATTGAAGTGAAGTCTTGGTACTCATGGGTTACCATTCGATTAGTGCATACAAAAGTAAATGGTGAGATTGGAGTCGAAGACACAGTCACAACTGTGTTCGAAGGAAAGAATAAAATGAAGCTTTGTCAGGCCAGGATGAAGAGGTGATACTTCTATTGGTCGAATTGAGTGGAAGGAGATCAAAAGGAGCAGAATGAATCTTCAACTAGTCAAAAGGAAGAGGTGATACTTTGATTGGTCGAATTGAGTGGAAGGAAATTGAATGGAGCAGAACAATGCTTCGACCAGTCAAAAGGAAAAGGTGATACTTCGATTGGTCGAATTGAGTGAAAGGAGATTGAAAGGAGAAAGAACTGTTCGATTAGGCTAATGTTTCCAGATCAGACAACCAATGCAGATGATGACTTAATCGAAGAAGCCATGATGATGAAGCCTTGAGCAATTCGAATTGGAACTCAGAGCCATCGAAAAGAACAAAGCTTGGGAGCATTCGAAAGAATCAAGATGTGAAAAGTTGAAACGAACACCTAATGGGATGAAACCTGTCCAGGTTCAATCAAAGTCCAAAATGGTAGAAAATATCTCAAAATGGAAACTTTTTAAATCTTTAGATTTTGCTTTCAAAGCTATGGTTAATGGCTGATTCATGCCGTTTTAGTTCACCCCCACACCCCTATAAATACAAGACAGACATTGCCCATCAATAGACACACATTGCATATACAAGAGATTGCCTATCAAAGCTCCACACACAAGAAGCTACCTCAGAAAACCAGATCAAATTCTCAAAATCTCATAAGGTGTCAAAATTCAAAACCAGCTTTACAAGCTCCCTCCGTCCAAACAAATACCATTTTTGTGTTCCTGAGATTCCCAGGGAGGCATCTGAACCACTAAGAAAGTTGTTCTCCGCCCAAAATTGCATATCGAAGCATAGCGGCCATATGTATAATTTTGAGATTCAACCTTTTGATCTAAGCATATTTGTGCGTTCTAATGCGTTTGTGTGTGTTTATGATGAAGTGTTAGACAAGTTATAATCCTCACATGTGAGCCCTAACGTCAGGATAAAGACCCACCATTATTAGGGAATTTGAAAATGTTTCCTTCGAAACTCAAAATCTAGAACGTTTCAGGCTAAACGGGCCTCAGATTGGGAATTAAGGGGTTCGAATTAGGGGGATAGGGTAGTTTTCAATCTTTGCTTTTGGCTATTTTGCAGGTTCAAGGTTGGAGCCCACCGGAGAAGACAACCAGAAAGTTGACTCCGATGGGCTGACTTCGGTCATCCAGGCGTCTCTTTCCCATTGGCTTGTGCAGCGCGCATGTGTTGATTTTGAATTATATATCTGATTTGTTTTACTAATATAATGATTTTATTTGTATAAACGAATGAACAAATAACGCAGATGGTAAAAAGGAAGTGTGCAAACGGGGAAGGACCTGGGTTCGATACCCAAGTCTTTACATTTTATTTTAATTAGATTTAGTTTTATTTTAATTTAATATTTTCCTAAATAGGCAAAAAAAACAACAACAAATAATATTCTTTTACTTAGAAACGTTTTAGGATTTTAGACGTCTTTTCTAATTCGCGCGCGTTTATTATTTTAGCATTGTTATTTTTATCATTAATGTATCTGCTTATGGGTTGTAATAGAATAACTAGGACATTTAATATTTTCCCCCAATCTTAGAATTCTAAATTTCCCCTCCCCGAAGCCATGTAATAGTTAGGATTTTATATTTCCGCACTTTTAATTTCTGCAAATTATTAACTGCTTAAATGTGTGATTAATAGGGTTGTACGGAAAGAGCTTAATAATCAAATGCTAGCAAACTTAATGCAAAGAAAAAAATAACTGAATACAACACACTCTCACATATACACCTCTAGGATATCCCTACTTTGGTTGGCTTCGGAAAAACAGTCACAACTCTCGAAACGTGAGAGATTTTAGTGACTACCCTCCAGTTTAAAGATCATAAGTCCCTCGATGACCCTCTCGATGTTGCCTCGGTAAAAATGATCTTAAAACCCTAGGGTAGTTACTAAGGTTTCTTGCCCAGTTGCCTTTGTGACTGTGTAAATGTCCCTCAAACATTCAACGACTAGGGCTACATACTCACTAATAGTAGGATAACACTGTCTAAAAGAAAAGAGGAAAAGAATAAACCTTCGAGTAAAAGTAGATAGTTCCTAGATGCTATGCTCAAAACAAATTTTTACACTTACACAAAACTTCTTTCAAAAACATTTTCAAAACGCTTTATCAACAATCTTTAGGACTGATACAAAAGTTATCA